TCTTTATCTGCATTTTCTAGATTCCTTTGTTGCAGTGAGGTATGTCAGGGCCTGAACTTGGCAGCTGGGAAATTAAAGTTGCAGATAATTTTGCTGTCTTGATTTGTTAGCAACAGACAGGTGCCAAGTGATTTTAGGTAGTTTCTTGAAAGAGAATGAGCATAGCAAGAGACAAATCGAAAGAATTGCTGCAGGGTAAATCTTGATGTTCAGATAGGAAAATTGAGTCAGTCAAAGTTTGGTTTAGAAATTCAGCACAAAATATCCTCCTGCCTCAGTCCCTATACATGTCTAAGGTTGTCAGATGGTTTCAATAAAAATACTGGACATACTTGACATTACATCACAATCTACATTACATCTTATTTAGGAAATACCAGACATTTTTATTTTGTCATTTATATTTTCTCAATTTGTTTCCCGAACAGAAAGCTCAAATACTGGACTGTCCGGTTCAAAACCAGACACCTGGCATCCCTATGCAGGTCACTACAGATTATGAAACTGGATTAATATACACAATAGTTTGTGTGTTAATGAAAATACCATGGGTTGCATGATGAGGAGCAATGTGCCTTACATATTTGAGATGCTGTTAGATTTATTCCAGTTACTTTGAATGTTTGATCACAAACCTAATATATTTTTCTGTTTTTAAAAAAAGAAGTGTTTTATACAAGTGCGCAAATGACTTCACAAGGCCCCAAAGCTGTGGAAACTCAGAGCCATAGTTTATAGTCAAGCATTTAAAACAAGTGGAGTTATGCTAGTTTTCCCCCTCTGAGGATCCAGACCATTGTGTCACCAGCATGCAAAAGAGAAACAAGATCAGTGTGGAATAATTGGTGATTTACATGTAGCTTTCCTACAAGAGATTAATTTGTTCCTCTCTGTGCTAAGGTATGCTAGAGGAGAGTGACTGTATAGCCCAACTCTGCAGCTCCAAGGGTACTCTGGATTCCGTCAAGATTCTCCTCTCTCCCAGTACATGGGATTGATGGGCAGAGATATGGAGGAGTGCACAATAGAGGCAGCAGAGGGCCAGGAATCTCAAGGGATCTGATTCCACAATCCTATGGGTTTTTCAGTTCCTTGGAACAACCTCCCTTCCATTCTTCTTCATAATAAGGCACACAGCACAGTGGTAGGAAAAGGAGTCATGCTGCCAGAGTCTGCTGACCCTCCTTTGTGCCCTGTAACTATCTGGAGGGAGCCAAAGAGCACGCAGCAGGAGTGGATGCTGTCTGAGGCAGCATCACTTTTCCTCACAGTAGGTCAGATACCGTTTTAGGAGGGAAATATCCCAGGTACTGTGGCCCTGCCTCTCTATTCTCAGGTCCAGTCCATGTTTTAATCCCTGTGGAGCTTCCGCAGAGGGAAGAAAGGTGATTTATATAGAACTAGCTGGAGTTACCCAGCATTGCTCGGGGAAGTTGATATAACTGAGGGGAGGGAGAGGGAAAGGAGCCGTGCGCCTGCCACCGGCACCCGAGCCTGCCCTCCACTTCCTTGTCCCTCCGCCAGCCTTAGTGAGTGACTGCCCCCGCCGCTTCCCCCAGGAAGCTGCTTCTCCCCACACTGCCAAGCTCTGTGCAGCCCTGGGGAGAGGCGTTGGTCTCTCATCTCTTCCCTCCCACAGTCCCTTAAAACCTTCTCCTGGATGACCGGTTATCCCATGCAAAGTTTGGTTGCGGTAGCTCTTCTAGTGTCCAAGTTATTAGCATACAAACATTCTCCTTTATATATTATAGATAGATAATTTTCTCCCTTGCATACCCTCCCCTTCAGGTAGCAGAGTTCTTGGCAATGTCCCCTCATGTAGCGACAAGGGAAAGTTAAATTGTCTTTTCAGCTGCCCTTGTTAGACTAGACTCCTGTCTATTACCAGGTTCTGAATCATGCCCTGATCTGGGATCCATGAAAACATTAGGCATGATTAGTGTAATGCCCCCCAATGCACGGGGCAGTCCAAACAATAGTTATTAGAATAGATCTTAAAGGGAAAGAAAGTGGCCAAGGTGAACTCAACCCATGCAATTAGTTCCGGTCGTGTGTTGCAGGGGCATCATTTTAGAAAAATTCTCCAAGGGCAAAGGTGTGTCACCATTCCTCCTTCTGTCTCCCTGGTGAGACCGTGGCTGTTTGTGGGTGATTAGTACTGCCTCATTTAGAGGAGGTAGAGGGTGTCCAAGGGCTGGTAGTGTGTCTCACTTATGACTGGTCTGGGACAGGACTTGGGGCTAGCTTGCTCCGTGCTTAGCTCTGGGCAATGCCAGCGCTTCCTGCCTGGACTGCAGGGAGAAGGAGGTGGCATATTAGGCTGCTTAAGAGAATCTGTCACTCTTCCTCCTCGTAGATCTAGTATGGTATGTTGTCCCTCCTTCCTAGTGCACAGAGTCAGAATGCCCCTCAAATTTGGTCTGCCAGCTCTCCATCATGACAGACCAGTGGCTGTGTCAGATTTGAGTGAGTGACATTGTGACCTGGTAGACTGGATCTCAACACAACTCAAATTTGGCTTGGCTGACCTTCTGTTGCCATCTCCCTCTCCCTGCTGTCTAGGCAGGAAGTTGTGACATTGCAGTAATGACAGAGGGTCATCCAGGCCAAATTTGAGTGCTGAGACCCAGTCTGTGAGGTCACAATGTACTTGCTTCAAGGGCCAAATTCTGAAAGGTGCTGAGCACCAGCAAATCCCATTGATGTCACCGAAACTTTTGGGTGCTCCCTGCTTTTCAGAATTTGGCCCAGCTGGGGTTTTATCCAAGAGACAAGTGTTTAAAGACGGACGCTGAATGAACTTCATATGTGTGTTAAGTTATGGACTAAAATTCTTTACCTTTTTTGCTGGAAAAAAGTTATCTATTTGAAATAGCTGTTTTCTAGACAAATTATTGTGTTGTCCAAAAATATACAGTAAGATTGGTCTTTGTTAGTGTAATATAAAACAGAAAGGCTAACTCGTTCACTTGTATCTTTTTGATACTTCTTTTAGCTTGCAAATAGCCAGGCAGCTTAATTTTTTTGTTTAAGCAAACTTTTTTTTTTTTTAAAGTAGGATTTACTT